GTATGTTTTGAAGAATGTAGCTGGTTTGAGCTGGTCCTTAATTGTAAGCTCACAACCAGTTTACAACCCGTTCAGGACCAACTATAGCCCAGCTTAAACCAGCTGCCATGCTTCAAAACATTCCTAACCAGCATATATTTTTCAACAGGGAAATTTAGTTTATGACCCAAGACCAAAAACTACATTAAAGCTGCATTATGTAAGTTTTGCCTCTTTGTCGCCATCTCTGTTTGAAACCTGCAATTGCATTTATTTGCAGAATTATCTTCTTTATGCGAGGTGTGCATCGGCATGTCTCCTCGGCGTGGATTAATCTAATGTTTTGAGGTGTATGTGTGGCTGTCAGTCACCGCACCAGCGTGGATATTCACTGTATTTCAGAATTACAGATACTAAGTCTTGGAAGTATGTCCAAAATAAGAAGTTTCACCGGAAAATGTCATCTGAACAAGTAACATGTCTGTCACTTTTACAATAAATCACACTACCAATGATGATTAAATCTAATGATTGCAGAATTAGATCAGACGACGTCAAACCGTTCAAATTATTGTTATACTTTGTTCTAAAATTGTTAATGTTAACAACATCTACATTGCTTAACTAAACTTCTTTGAGTTTCTTACCTGTATTCTCCTTTTCAGCCTTTTTCTCATGAGAGATATCAGCGTATATGAGCTCTGTATCTCCAGCTGACGGGAAAACACTGACATTAGCAACAGATCAACTACAATCTCATATTTCAGTCATTAAAGTATTGCCTTCAAAACTATCCTCTGAACAGATCATGCTGGCTAAACGTTTTTCACATATCAGACTGTTTGCATGTAACGCATTGAGAAAAAGGCAAGGAAAGAATACAGTAAGTGAGGTCATATATTTGAGGTCATCAATCTTTGATTTATTGGATTTCATTCATGAAACTTTTGTAAATATATGAGTAAATTCTGAGTGATTTGCACATAGAAAGTACCTTCCCAAAAAATTCACAAACACTTCATTAAACCTCAGACTTCATAGTTAAACATGTATGTTAATGAATTCCAGTCAATTGTAAACAAGGCGTGCATGTCTGCACATTTATAATTGGCTATTTATTTTCACAATTAACTAACTGGTTAACTAATTAATTTTGTAATTATACTGTATATTATTATGATAAATAGTGTTATTTTAAATTATATAAAAAATTATAAAAAATGCTCAAAACAAATTCCTTGTATGTCTAAACATACCTGGTACTAAAGCTCTTTCTGATTCTGATTAAAATGTAGTGTCAACAGAATACTAAACATTTAAATGTTTTATGCACGTTTCACATGTTGGGAGTATTTTATTTTTTTCAAACCAACTAACAATGTGAAAATACAAACACTTTTGTGAATCATAACAGCTTTATTAATAATTGTCATGATGCTTGAGGAATAATAGTTTCAAAGCCTTTCTGCTATTTTGCACCAATTTTAACCCCAGAAAGTTTGTCAAATCTCCACCAAAACTGGCTCAGATCATTTTCATCACATCTCAAATGTTTCTACTTTGGCTTTTGGTGTAATTGTGTTTGAAGCTGTCTGTAAGAGAGTGCAATGACCAAACACATCTCTGCAGCATATATAATACATAAGCTACAAATAGTACTACATTTGAACCTTCATCAGTTAATATATGAACTAGAGATTAAAACACACTGACCTGGTGTCGACTTGAGCTGCTTCTTCTTGTAAATATAACATACGGTGAAGAACAGCAGAATCAGGACCAGAGCAACGCAGCCCAAAGTAATCAGAGAAAATTTTAAAACTATGGAAGAAAAAACACAAGGCCACTTAAAACAACCCCAAAACTGCTTTGAAAAGTTCATTCATAACAACTGCAACAGCAACAAGAACAGAACAACTTCATGCAATTAACAGCACAGTGAATTAGTTCAACAATCATATTAGCTACAGAAGCGTCTGTGAATCCCTCACTGCCATCATTATTACTGGGTTTATTGGTAATTTGCAGTATTTGTTGTTGTTCAAATGCTCTTGTTCTTCAAGAGTGTGGGTTTGATTCGTATCTGCTGATGAGAAACTCGTACCATTTTCTGATGCTGTCACTTTTACAATAAATCACACTACCAATGATGATTAAATCTAATGATTGCAGAATTAGATCAGTCGACGTCAAACCGTTCAAATTATTGTTATACTTTGTTCTAAAATTGTTAATGTTAACAACATCTACATTGCTTAACTAAACTTCTTTGAGTTTCTTACCTGTATTCTCCTTTTCAGCCTTTTTCTCATGAGAGATATCAGCGTATATGAGCTCTGTATCTCCAGCTGACGGGAAAACACTGACATTAGCAACAGATCAACTACAATCTCATATTTCAGTCATTAAAGTATTGCCTTCAAAACTATACTCAGAACAGATCATGCTGGCTAAACGTTTTTCACATATCAGACTGTTTGCATGTAACGCATTGAGAAAAAGGCAAGGAAAGAATACAGTAAGTGAGGTCATATATTTGAGGTCATCAATCTTTGATTTATTGGATTTCATTCATGAAACTTTTGTAAATATATGAGTAAATTCTGAGTGATTTGCACATAGAAAGTACCTTCCCAAAAAATTCACAAACACTTCATTAAACCTCAGACTTCATAGTTAAACATGTATGTTAATGAATTCCAGTCAATTGTAAACAAGGCGTGCATGTCTGCACATTTATAATTGGCTATTTATTTTCACAATTAACTAACTGGTTAACTAATTAATTTTGTAATTATACTGTATATTATTATGATAAATAGTGTTATTTTAAATTATATAAAAAATTATAAAAAATGCTCAAAACAAATTCCTTGTATGTCTAAACATACCTGGTACTAAAGCTCTTTCTGATTCTGATTAAAATGTAGTGTCAACAGAATACTAAACATTTAAATGTTTTATGCACGTTTCACATGTTGGGAGTATTTTATTTTTTTCAAACCAACTAACAATGTGAAAATACAAACACTTTTGTGAATCATAACAGCTTTATTAATAATTGTCATGATGCTTGAGGAATAATAGTTTCAAAGCCTTTCTGCTATTTTGCACCAATTTTAACCCCAGAAAGTTTGTCAAATCTCCACCAAAACTGGCTCAGATCATTTTCATCACATCTCAAATGTTTCTACTTTGGCTTTTGGTGTAATTGTGTTTGAAGCTGTCTGTAAGAGAGTGCAATGACCAAACACATCTCTGCAGCATATATAATACATAAGCTACAAATAGTACTACATTTGAACCTTCATCAGTTAATATATGAACTAGAGATTAAAACACACTGACCTGGTGTCGACTTGAGCTGCTTCTTCTTGTAAATATAACATACGGTGAAGAACAGCAGAATCAGCACCAGAGCAAAGCAGCCCAAAGCAATCAGAGATAATTTTAAAACTATGGAAGAAAAAACACAAGATCACTTGAAACAACCCCAAAACTGCTTTGAAAAGTTCATTCATAACAACTGCAACAGCAACCAGAACAGAACAACTTCATGCAATTAACAGCACAGTAAATTAGTTCAAAACTCATATTAGCCACAGAAGCGTCTGTAAATCCCTCACTGCCATCATTATTATTGGGTTTATTGATAATTTAAATAAACTTTAAATTACCAATATTTAAAGTGATAAATTATTTATCACTTTTACCCCCCCCATGAAAACACAAAATGACCAATAAAAAAGTGTCAAGCACCAAAAGCAGATCATATTAAATCTATATGTTGTCTTTAATTGGGCACTATCTTCTCTAATACATTAGAAGCTGTTGCACCCATCAAATTGAAAAAGGTTAGAGAAAAATGTACTGCGCCATGGTACAACAGTAATACCCATTCTCTCAAGAAAAAAACTCGTAGTCTTGAGCGCAAATGGCGAAAAACTAACTTGGAAGGGAGGGACATATTATCACCAGTAAAATATGGAGTGCCACAAGGATCTGTCCTAGGTCCTCTGCTATTTTCGTTATACATGTTGCCACTTGGTAATATTATTAGAAAATACGGGATTAGTTTCCACTGTTATGCCGATGATACTCAACTATATATCTCAACAAGACCAGATGAAACTTCTAAATTATCTAAGCTAACGGAGTGTGTTAAAAATTTAAAAGATTGGATGACCAATAATTTTCTCCTATTAAATTCGGATAAGACAGAGATATTACTTATTGGACCAAAAGACAGTACACCGAATCTCGTGGATTACAATTTGCAACTAGACGGATGTAAGGTTACTTCCTCTACAGTCAAAAATCTGGGTGTTATATTAGATAGCAACTTGTCTTTTGAAAATCATATTTCCCATGTTACAAAAACGGCATTCTTCCATCTTAGAAACATTGCCAAGTTACGAAACATGATACCTGTGCATTCATGACCTCTAGACTGGACTATTGTAATGCACTGCAAGGTGGTTGTCCTGCATCTTCAATAAACAAACTACAGGTAGTCCAAAATGCAGCGGCTAGAGTCCTTACCAGGTCAAGAAAATATGATCATATTACCCCAATTTTACAGTCTCTGCACTGGCTACCTGTTAAGTTCCGTATCAGTTACAAAATATTATTACTTGCCTATAAGGCCCTTAATGGGTTAGCTCCTGCATACCTAACTAGTCTTCTACCACGCTACAATCCATCACGCTCCCTAAGGTCACAAAACTCTGGACTTTTGGTAGTACCTAGGATAGCAAAGTCCACTAAAAGAGGTAGAGCTTTTTGACACAATCTGTATTGTTAAAAGCGCTATATAAATAAAGGTGACTTGACTTGACTTTAATTGAAAAATATGCTTTTTCATATATACTATATACTGTATACATACGCACCAATGCACACACACACACACACACACACACATATATATGTGTGTGTGTGTGTTCCTCATTTTCTATGAAAAACAACGATTGTCACTTATTTTCCTTTTCTGAAATTGGCAACCCTAGCAGAGGTCAAACTAGAGGTCACAGCTGCAGTAGTTGGTCCTGTAATAAAACATCAGCACAGAATCACCTGCTTTCTCTCTTAATATTAATTACTGCAGAGATAATCAATCATTTTGAAGAATTAAGTGGCCAATTGAGAGAATCGATTCGTCTGAATCTCATGAAACCTGTCAAGGACCCGTCCAGGTCACATTTCAGTTCAAAACTGTAATTAGTAAGTAATATTTAGCATGTTTCATTGAATGTTTTTAGGGGCATTAAACCCTTTTGCAATGTAACATTTACCCCTCAAATCTAATTTCTGACATATGAAGAAAAGGCAAAAAATGAAAATAAATAAAATAAAATGATAAATTCTCAACACATGAATGCAAAAATCTATGTTAATCATAATATGTATGAAATAACTAAAATCATCATATTATCATCATAAAATGTACCTGAGAGAAATGTATCATATTGCATCAAATAAAAATGTATTGTATGCAATTGTAGTAATAAGAATCAAGTAACAAAATATCACTGTAAATAATTGTGATTACCAAAAAAAAAAAAAAAAATCTAAAACATTACAGTAAAGCAAGTTTAGGGAGTAGGAGTGTATTTAAACGTCATGAAAATAGCAATGCAAATAAAATGAATAGCTGTAAAATAGTCCTTATTTCCTTTATGCAAGTTGTGATTTCTTTTGATTTTGAGGTGAAATGTTTGTTTGTTGTTTAAGATTTAGTGCCATGCCAGCGACTGAGACAGCGAGAAACAAGTGAAAAACAGTAAATAAGAAAATAAATAAAGTATATATAAACAACAAATAAAAACTAAAAGGTTTTAAAGTGAATTTTCCATTAAAAAAAAGTTAGACCATGAACCTAGCCTCACTTTATTAATAATTTTTCCTTAAGAATCAACCAAAAAGGAGAGTCCTAGAGGAGTTAAACTCATCACAATCCCCCAAAATACGCTTCAGAGATACTGCATTCTGTCATAAGGGGATTCTGTGGTGAAATGTGACTTTGACAGGTTCCTGACAGGTTTTGTGAGATTCTGCATCACTCTTGTTGCTGTTGCTGTTGTCTAGCAAATACTTCATTCATGTATTAGAAGCTCACCAGGACAGGGTTCGAGTCTAATGGTCTTCTGTGCGTGACTGACGTGGTTCTTCACGCTGCAGCTGATGTCTCCATCAGTTCCCTCATTTAGCTCAATGCTGCTGTTTCCATCCATCAGTGGATCTCCATTCAGAGTCCAGCTGTAGAGGAGCTGATCCCCCTCAGAGGAGCAGAACACTGACCTCTGATTGGAGGAGCAGATGATTGACACTTCCACTGAGCCAATAGGAGCTGGAGGGAGGGACACATGACAGTCACATGACAAACACAAGAGAATCTTGTTCTTCCACACGACTCATACTATTACTGGAGTCTGTAGTGTGTTTACTGTGTGCTTCAGGAATAAAAACCTTCCCAGAGATTCAACTGATTCATCTGCATGAGAGTGAGATCTTTGGAGAACATGAGACTGGAATGAGTCTGATGAGAGAGTTTCTGTACCTTCAACAATCACTTGAAGATCTCTAGATGTTTCTGTGCCGTCTGAGCAATGAGCGAGTGTTAATCTGTAATTCCCTGAATCTGCTCTGATCACACGCTTTATTATCACAGTCCCATTAATGATGGTCACTTCAGGTCTGTTGTTATAAAGATCACAATCCCTCATCCTGCCATATTTTACTCTACAAACTGGATCATCTTGTGTGTAGTTTATTCTCTTTATTATCTTCAGGTCATATTCTCTAGCGTCCCGCACCGTCAGCAGATTGAGTTTGTGTCCCAGAGCTGCGTAACAGGGATCAGGTTGATTAAAACTGCAGTTCAACTCCAGACCTGAAGAACAAAACACACACACACACAATGAAATGAACCAAAATCTACAGACATCATGAACTAAAATCAGGAACAAATAGGGTGACCACCTGGTAATTGCTCCATTGGAGGATGTAGATATGATTCTGCGGGACACGTGTGTGAGAGAGAAATGTATTACTGTTATACTATATAAATACTGATTTACATTAGTGGGAATGCGGAGGGAGAACAAACTGCAGGGCAAAACTAAAAGAAACCTAATGTTAGTGTAATCTATCAGCACATTTATTCACGTAGCCTACCAGACATGAGTGTCATGTCATAAAATATTTTAATATGACTGAATTTGTGTTTAACATGATCACAATTTGACACAAACATTGTAAGTTTCTAATTTACTAATGTTTACTAAAGTATTAATAAAGTTATTCATATACACAGTTATTCAACAGCGAATAATACAGAAAGCAAGCATAGAACACTATCATATCTAATATTATCACTGATTATAGTCTAGTGCGAGTTTAAGCATTTACAAAATAACTCCCGCTATAATTAATGAAGCTGCCTACACTGTGAAATTAATCTCTTATATCATTTATTTGTGTTTGTAGGAGCAAAGAAAGCAACGTTTCCTTACTTTGGCAAAGGAAAACCAGTCTCCTCTTGGCTTATATCAAAATCCTCTGACATTTTTCTTTACTAATCCTCGTTTTGTACTTCTAATTCATGACCGGTGTTTTGTTTTGCTCTCTCCGCTGCGCTTCTGCATTCCTACGTCATCCGCTGGAACGCCACTCTCTCATGAACACAACTATGGAAGCTATAGATTACGGTTTATAAAGTTTTAAATATGGATATCATTCTAACACAAACGCATCGATTTTCTTCAGTAGGCCTTTATTAAGCCACAGGAGCCGTGTGGAGCACTTTTATGATGGATGGATGCACTTTATTGGACTTCTGTTGAATCTCAGCACCCATTCACTGCCATTATAAAGCTTGGAAGAGCCAGGACCTTTTTTTAATATAACTCTGATTGTATTCGTCTGAAAGAAGAAAGTCATAGACAGCTACGATGGCTTGAGTGTGAGTAAATCATGGGGTCATTTTCATTTTTGGGTGAACTATCCCTTTAAATGCGTTTTACCGGATTCAGTGCATCTTGAACTTGTAAGATCTGGCAGGTTTGATCAGAATGCTCTTATCCAGGATGTGTCTAGAAGTAGTTCTGGTTGGAGTAGCTGTATTTAATGACTTTGATGAGTTCCACATTGATTCCATTGCTCCGCTCACACAGTCGTCATCAGCAGAACAATCTCACTCTATTAATGCATTGGCTGGTTATTTCCCTGCTCTATAGAAGATGACAACTGCACAAATGTCCAATCGCATCTTTTTTTATTGAGGTATTTTAATTTCAGGAAAGAAAAAAAAAATAATAGAGCCTATAGATCCCTCGCTGCCATCATTATTATTAGGTTTCATTGTAATTTACATTATTTGTTGTAACTCAGCACTCACACATCCTGGAAGAAAATGCTGTAGTGTAGGTGACATTCATACCTGAGAAACTCGTACCATTTTCTGATGTCTGTGTCGACGTAGAGGTCAAACTAGAGGTCACAGCTGCAGTAGTTGCTCCTGTAATAAAACATCAGCACAGAATCACCTGCTTTCTCTCTTAATATTAATTACTGCAGAGATAATCAATCATTTTGAAGAATTAAGTGGCCAATTGAGAGAATCGATTCGTCTGAATCTCATGAAACCTGTCAAAGACCCGTCCAGGTCACATTTCAGTTCAAAACTGTAATTAGTATGTAATATTTAGCATGTTTCATTGAATGTTTTTAGGGGCATTAAACCCTTTTGCATTGTTGAGTATGAATGTTTTTATACTGTCTTTGACAGGTTCCTGACAGGTTTTGTGAGATTCTGCATCCCTCTTGTTGCTGTTGCTGTTGTCTAGTAAATACATCATTCATGTATTAGAAGCTCACCAGGACAGGGTTCGAGTCTAATGGTCTTCTGTGCGTGACTGACGTGGTTCTTCACGCTGCAGCTGATGTCTCCATCAGTTCCCTCATCCAGAACAATGCTGCTGTTTCCATCAATCAGTGGATCTCCATTCAGAGTCCAGCTGTAGAGGAGCTGATCCCCCTCAGAGGAGCAGAACACTGACCTCTGATTGGAGGAGCAGATGATTGACACTTCCACTGAGCCAATAGCAGCTGGAGGGAGGGACACAGGACAGTCACATGACTCTTTCTCGACTAATTCTGTAACCAGAGTCAATGTCAAGACATTTCTAAACAAAATGTACTGCTGAAAGGATAGCTGGATGGAAGTAAAAACGCAGCATCCATTAGTCGTGTAATAACAATGTAGCAAATGACTGTTTGAAATGCTTTTATGTGTCATTTTTACAATATACAGTAAGCAGCATGCAGTAAGCAAAATAGACTAAGTACATGAAAGGTGCAGATGAATTAGACTAAATTCTTCCAGACATTCAATAATGATCTGCATTCCTACGTCATCCGCTGGAACGCCACTCTCTCATGAACACAACTATGAAAGCTATAGATTACGGTTTATAAAGTTTTAAATATGGATATTATTCTAACACAAACGCATCAATTTTCTTCAGTAGGCCTTTATTAAGCCACAGGAGCCGTGTGGAGCACTTTTATGATGGATGGATGCACTTTGTTGGACTTCTGTTGAATCTCAGCACCCATTCACTGCCATTATAAAGCTTGGAAGAGCTAGGACCTTTTTTTAATATAACTCTGATTGTATTCGCCTGAAAGAAGAAAGTCATAGACAGCTACGATGGCTTGAGTGTGAGTAAATCATGGGGTCATTTTCATTTTTGGGTGAACTATCCCTTTAAATGCATTTTACCGGATTCAGTGCGTCTTGAACTTGTAAGATCTGGCAGGTTTGATCAGAATGCTCTTATCCAGGATGTGTCTAGAAGTAGTTCTGGTTGGAGTAGCTGTATTTAATGACTTTGATGAGTTCCACATTGATTCCTTTGCTCCGCTCACACAGTCGTCATCAGCAGAAAAATCTCTCTCTATTAATGCATTGGCTGGTTATTTCCCTGCTCTATAGAAGATGACAACTGCACAAATGTCCAATCGCATCTTTTTTTATTGAGGTATTTTAATTTCAGGAAAGAAAAAAAAAATAGAGCCTATAGATCCCTCGCTGCCATCATTATTATTAGGTTTCATTGTAATTTACATTATTTGTTGTAACTCAGCACTCACACATCCTGGAAGAAAATGCTGTAGTGTAGGTGACATTCATACCTGAGAAACTCGTACCATTTTCTGATGTCTGTGTCGACGTAGAGGTCAAACTAGAGGTCACAGCTGCAGTAGTTGCTCCTGTAATAAAACATCAGCACAGAATCACCTGCTTTCTCTCTTAATATTAATTACTGCAGAGATAATCAATCATTTTGAAGAATTAAGTGGCCAATTGAGAGAATCGATTCGTCTGAATCTCATGAAACCTGTCAAAGACCCGTCCAGGTCACATTTCAGTTCAAAACTGTAATTAGTATGTAATATTTAGCATGTTTCATTGAATGTTTTTAGGGGCATTAAACCCTTTTGCATTGTTGAGTATGAATGTTTTTATACTGTCTTTGACAGGTTCCTGACAGGTTTTGTGAGATTCTGCATCCCTCTTGTTGCTGTTGCTGTTGTCTAGCAAATACTTCATTCATGTATTAGAAGCTCACCAGGACAGGGTTGGAGTCTAATGGTCTTCTGTGAGTGACTGACGTGGTTCTTCACGCTGCAGCTGATGTCTCCATCAGTTCCCTCATCCAGACAGTGCATCTTGAACTTGTAAGATCTGGCAGGTTTGATCAGAATGCTCTTATCCAGGATGTGTCTAGAAGTAGTTCTGGTTGGAGTAGCTGTATTTAATGACTTTGATGAGTTCCACATTGATTCCATTGCTCCGCTCACACAGTCGTCATCAGCAGAACAATCTCACTCTATTAATGCATTGGCTGGTTATTTCCCTGCTCTATAGAAGATGACAACTGCACAAATGTCCAATCGCATCTTTTTTTATTGAGGTATTTTAATTTCAGGAAAGAAAAAAAAAATAATAGAGCCTATAGATCCCTCGCTGCCATCATTATTATTAGGTTTCATTGTAATTTACATTATTTGTTGTAACTCAGCACTCACACATCCTGGAAGAAAATGCTGTAGTGTAGGTGACATTCATACCTGAGAAACTCGTACCATTTTCTGATGTCTGTGTCGACGTAGAGGTCAAACTAGAGGTCACAGCTGCAGTAGTTGGTCCTGTAATAAAACATCAGCACAGAATCACCTGCTTTCTCTCTTAATATTAATTACTGCAGAGATAATCAATCATTTTGAAGAATTAAGTGGCCAATTGAGAGAATCGATTCGTCTGAATCTCATGAAACCTGTCAAAGACCCGTCCAGGTCACATTTCAGTTCAAAACTGTAATTAGTATGTAATATTTAGCATGTTTCATTGAATGTTTTTAGGGGCATTAAACCCTTTTGCATTGTTGAGTATGAATGTTTTTATACTGTCTTTGACAGGTTCCTGACAGGTTTTGTGAGATTCTGCATCCCTCTTGTTGCTGTTGCTGTTGTCTAGTAAATACATCATTCATGTATTAGAAGCTCACCAGGACAGGGTTCGAGTCTAATGGTCTTCTGTGCGTGACTGACGTGGTTCTTCACGCTGCAGCTGATGTCTCCATCAGTTCCCTCATCCAGATCAATGCTGCTGTTTCCTTCCATCAGTGGATCTCCATTCAGAGTCCAGCTGTAGAGGAGCTGATCCCCCTCAGAGGAGCAGAACACTGACCTCTGATTGGAGGAGCAGATGATTGACACTTCCACTGAGCCAATAGCAGCTGGAGGGAGGGACACAGGACAGTCACATGACTCTTTCTCGACTAATTCTGTAACCAGAGTCAATGTCAAGACATTTCTAAACAAAATGTACTGCTGAAAGGATAGCTGGATGGAAGTAAAAACGCAGCATCCATTAGTCGTGTAATAACAATGTAGCAAATGACTGTTTGAAATGCTTTTATGTGTCATTTTTACAATATACAGTAAGCAGCATGCAGTAAGCAAAATAGACTAAGTACATGAAAAGTACAGATGAATTAGACTAAATTCTTCCAGACATTCAATAATGAGCTGCAATAAAAACCTTCCCAGAGATTCAACTGATTCATCTGTATGAGAGTGAGATCTTTGGAGAACATGAGACTGGAATGAGTCTGATGAGAGAGTTTCTGTACCTTCAACAATCACTTGAAGATCTCGCAATGATGTTAGCCAATCATAACAGAGGCCGATTACTGACGAGCCTTAAAGGAGCCGCCACATAAAACAGGTCATTTTAGACAGATGGTCAGAATGAGGGTTGAAAAGAATCCTTTTTTCCACACACACACATGTTTTTTGTGCAAAAATCTTTATTAACATTATAAGTGAACTTCAAGGAACATATATATATAAAAAAAATAATAAAATCCTTTAAAAGGTAATGCATTTTTATCACTTAATGTTATTTGTATAGAGGTACAAAAATCAGCTGTTGTACTTTTCCTAAGAAGACTATATACAGACTATAATTATAAAAACTGATTTTTATAAGATAATGATTTTACACAGATGCTCTTTTACTGTAACTAGACACTTCCATCTGACATATTATAATATTCCACCAATTCACACTGCTAAGACCAGAAAACGCATTAGATCACTGACGACATCTTTTAAACAATACTACAGTCTTTTTATTTGAGAGATTGATCAGCAGTATGAGTTTGATGTGAAAGTGACTCACATGCAGCAGTTTGCAGCAGCAGCATCAGTCCAAAGATCAGCATCATTTCTCTAAAGTCCAGTCTCCAGCAGAAGAGTGTCAGATCGAGTCTTCACTGACAGACAGACAGCAGCTCTGCTGACACACCAGGAAATTACAGCACTTTAACAAAGAAAGAAGAAAGAGGAAGCTTTTCAGAGAGGGTCTATGTGGGTCAACAGTTCATTCTTAAATACCTAAAAAAAAAAGACAAACTAACAAGATGTAGCATTTCTACATCACATTACTAAAAAGTGTCTGTAATTATTTTTGACACATCTTTGTTTAAAACCCAATAAACATAGAAATCAAATGAGTTCATGAGCTCATCAAAGGCTTTTGGCAGATTGATTTCAAACAAGCTTCAGTATATGAGTATATGCAATATAAATACAATATAAATAGTAGCTGAAATGCATTTGTGATTTGGATCCAAAAAAGCAAAGCAAATCAAATAAGTGAAACCCAGTCCAAAATAAACTTAATATATAAACTTCAGCATAACAGAAACTCTTTTAAACATCAAATATAACGCCACATTCAACTCTAATGGGTCTTTCCATTTACATAAGATGCATAAAAAAACTTTAATTACATCATACTCTCCTGGCCTAATTTAGTTAATACAACAGAAACGATTCACGAACTAGGCAAATACATACATTTCAGAAGCTGTGAGAAATATTTAGTGTATGTGTTAAGAAGAACAAATACACTTGTAGATCCCTGCAAACTTATAAATATAAAATATAAATATTTTAATATTACAACACGTTTTCAGAAGAGACCGGATGACACTCATCAGAGTTCACAGTGTATTTATAAGAACAGTGCGCTGCTTCTGTGAGAGAAAAGGAAGTTTAGATCATTCACAGGTGTGTCCTTGCACAAGGACACAAAAATAGCTAACACATATATATATGTGCTTTACTGTTATGGTGGGGACTTTCCATTGACTGATGTTTCTACAGTTTTATATTTTCATAAAGACATTATTTAATATAATAACAAGCTGTTTTTTTTAATTATAGCAGGGCTCATAATAAAACGAAAAATTGGCCATAAAAACTACTAACAAACATCTACTAAAGAAAACATCTGTCACGATTTGCACATCTGTCAACTTTTACCCAAGTCTGAATCCATGAGGTCTGACACAAAATGATCAATGATCAAAATGAGCTGCACTGTGAGTCAAATACACAGGAAAAAGCATCTAAATAAACCAGTTATCATAAGGATGTTTATCATGTCAGTTTTAAGGCCTGCATGTGTGGTTTGAAAGTATATTTTAAAGCTCTCACTCTGTAAAAACATTTCTGCTGATAAAGCAGCTCAGTTTGTTCTGAAATGATGAGACTGAGATCTGTCTTTACTCACGTTCACCACACGAGGTCTCCATCAGCATCTGTTGCCATAGTAACACCAGCCTGTTTTCATAGTAACACCAGCATGTTGCCATAGTAACACCAGCCTGTTTCAGCCTCTGCTTCATGTCTGACCTGAATCTCCTGGAGGTCATGGCAAATTTGACTGGATTTCAGCTGTCGGATAAACCCTTTTCACATTCCCGGGTTTCTCCGCAGCGGAAGTCGTCATAGTTGGGTTAACTTGAAGAGCAGTGAATGGGAGAGTACCACACATATATTTTTTGGCATTCCCATTTGCACAAATAGCAAAAGAAAAACTCCACGATAGTGTTTTCATGACTTTCATTTTTAATTTGATGCAAAGGTGATATAATACAAAGAATAGTGTTATAAATGTACATACACTTAAAAAAATACAAATATGAAAAACTTTCGAGGATTTACGATGCTGATGACCGTTAAACGCGTCATCACAGTCTTGTGAAAAGGGTCTATTGGATCACATATTAAAATTGTTTTGTTGAAAAGAAAAAGAAAAAAAAAGCAACTAAAATTTAATTTGATGAAACCTTCAGTGTTGTTCAAAACATTTTAGTAGGAATGGGATACATTTGATCCAGAAATATCAGGATTCAGGGTGGATTTCAGGAACAAAATATTTTACTTGCGCATCTAGTGTGAAACGGGTCTCACAGTAACAAATGGAAATGTCTGCGAGCCGTCTGCCATTATCGCATATATCTCAGCAGGGGCAGGGGCGCCGCTATAGTTTCTGGGCCCCCTGAACAGCATATTGACTCCGGCGACCTCCCTCTTGGTAAAAATAGGCCCTTGGAATCGCCCTAACCTTCCCCTCTGCTACGGCGTCCCTGAGCGGGGGTCCCAGAGTTTGAAACTCGGGTTGAGTGCAGGTCTCTTTGGCCCCGTCCCAATGCAACAAGCCCCATAGTTCGATTTGGTAGTTATAGCCGGTCAAATTTTCAACTTTTGAGAGCGCTATCTCCGTGAGTTGGGGACCGGTGTTCTGACGGGAGTGTACTGAATGTACTGAAATTCACCTGCTTTGGCAGTCAGGGGAGAAACAAAGCTTATCAAAACTTTGAATCATTTGAACAAATTGCTTCACAAAACGATTCACTGTTCAAGCGCTCGAAACGCCACACGCTGGTGACGCCTGCTGCTCAGAACGATGTAAATGCAACGAAAACTCCAAACATGCATTAAATTACCTTTAGCAAACCGATTTTATTGAAAGTGTTGTAAGTACCACCCATTAACCCAACGACGGAATCAAGCGGCATGGGTGAAGGTATAATGTGTTTAAGTCTTTTACTTGCAATTCTGTAAGGTTCACTTAATTTGTTTTGAATTTGACTGAATTTCACTTTTATTGTAGCTCTGTGCTTAAGCTAAGCATTTCATAATTTGCTGTGCACACTACAGTCTCTGTGCTCACAGTGTCTCAGACACTAATATTTCAGCTGAATCACTGTCAGGCCATCTGGGATTTCAGTATGGAGATATTACATGACATCATGAGTGTGTATATGCACTAGGGCTGCTCGAAGCTTATCAAAACTTTGAATCATTTGAACAAATTGCTTCACAAAACGATTCACTGTTCAAGCGCTCGAAACGCCACACGCTGGTGACGCCTGCTGCTCAGAACGATGTAAATGCAACGGAAACTCCAAACATGCATTAAATTACCTTTAGCAAACCGATTTTATTGAAAGTGTTGTAAGTACCACCCATTAACCCAACGACGGAATCAAGCGGCATGGGTGAAGGTATAATGTGTTTAAGTCTTTTACTTGCAATTCTGTAAGGTTCACTTAATTTGTTTTGAATTTGACTGAATTTCACTTTTATTGTAGCTCTGTGCTTAAGCTAAGCATTTCATAATTTGCTGTGCACACTACAGTCTCTGTGCTCACAGTGTCTCAGACACTAATATTTCAGCTGAATCACTGTCAGGCCATCTGGGATTTCAGTATGGAGATATTACATGACATCATGAGTGTGTATATGCACTAGGGCTGCTCGATTATGGCAAAAATCATAATCACGATTATTTTGGCTAATATTGTAATCATGGTTATTTAACACGATTATGAGGGGGCCATATGACCAAAACGTTATATGAGTGATTTATTTAAAGATGGTGATACATATCAATTTATTTCCTGTAAATAAGGTTGCTATGACATCTACATTGTAGAGACCAGCGGAATTTCAAACAAACAAACGAAAAGTCCTAAAAATTATTGAAAATAATTAAACTGTCAGTAATAAAAAAGCAAAGGACAAATACAATAGAATAAAAATATACAAATGAAACAAACTGTGCTTTAAAGTCCGCATGAACCGGAAGTTGCTGCCGACTTTATTTCAGTGTAGTGACGTATTTCCAGCTGAAACGGAGTATTGAATTGAGGTAGTTGTTTTATTTTTGCGCTCCTCCTCTCTGTCTCTCACTCATAGCAACCTAAGGGTTGGAGGGGTGTGTTTAAGGATATTCTGCCCAAGTCGTCAAACTGACGTCATCAGAGAAGGAATGCCATTCCAGAGCGGAAGCAAATGATCAGATTTTGATTAAAGATGACCAAAACAAACAATTTTCATTTAAAGGGACAAACACAAAAAACAGCGCGTTTTGGCTCATATCCTAAAAATGGCAATTTCAACAAGCTATAAAAATTATCTGTAGGGTATTTTGAGCTAAAACTTCACATACACACTCTGGGAACATCAGATACTTATTTTACATCTTGTAAAAAGGGGCATAATAGGTCACCTTTAAACTATACAGTAAAATAAATAAATAAATAAATAATTTCAAATGTTAAAATGATGATTAAAATACATTATCCTACAAAACTAATTTTATTTAATCTCTTCATTTTATTCCTGTTCCTTGTTTTATTCAATGTTCTATGTAATAAGCAAGGCAGATGATTAAAAAGGAAACCAAATTACTACAAACAAATGAACTCCCAAAAATTCAGCTAGTGACAACTGCATTTACAAAAATTCTATGCAGTGTGCATGGAACCGAACTGAACATCTATAGTTGTTAATGCCGTATTTAAATGTGTATCAGAGATGTATCTCTCTTCTGTATGTGTTTGAGTTTTTTATGTGTTTAACTTTGATTAACCTGTGCTTTATGGTCAATACAATGAAAATGTAGTGTATTAAATAAGCTTTAACAAAAATCTAATGAGATTGTGGCTTTTGACTGGAAATAAAGCTTCATTTCAAAGCATTTTATCTTCATTTAACTTTGATAGCAAAGTTTATCAGTTTCAATGCTGACTCCATTTTCATTTTTTAAAAGAACATGGTTCATCACTATTCCATAATAACATAAATAACGTATGAATAAAAAAATACAAAAGTGTAGCAAAACGTTAAAAAACATAAAATACAGAAGATCTGCTGCTGCTCTCATGAATCTTCAGCTGTGTGTTCATGTTGCTCTCTAAATCTGCTCATTCTCACTTTCTGATCTTCCTCTTTCTTTCCTAAAAGCATCACATTATCATCATCATCACACTCTTAATATTCACATGTCAAATCCATAATGATGATCATAAATGTCTCTCACCTGACGTGTGTCTCATGTAGATGTGAAAACCTCCTAACAGACCCAACAGAACCATCAGCTGGAAACCCCAGGCCAGCACAAACACCACAGACACTGAACAACACAAACACATCAATCAATCAATCAATCAAACGGTTTATTATCACAGTCCCATTAATGACGGTCACTTCAGGTCTGTTATTGTAAAGATCACATTCCCTCATCCTGCCATATTTTACTCTACAATCTCGATCATCTTGTGTGTAGTTTATTCTCTTTATTATCTTCAGCTCATATTCTCTAGCGTCCAGCACTGTCAGCAGATTGAGTTTGTGTCCCAGAGCTGCGTAACAGGGATCAGACTGATCAAACCAGCAGAACCGATCCAGACCTGAAGAACAAAACACACACACACACACACACACACACAGAGAGAGAGACACACACACACAGACAATGAAATGTACCAAAATCTAAAGGAATCACTGATTAAAATCAGACATAAATTACATACACAAAAAAGTATTAAAATAACGCTAAAATAAATTCAAATTTACTTTCACTGTCTGCAAACACTTTATGCATGTTGAAATGCTTTATTCTGATAAAGCAAATTGTCTTTGTCCTGCACTTTCTGTCCAGTTCCATTAACCTGCGGCATTTCTCTCTTTGTAAATAATGTCTTGATCTTTCTCACATTACATTTAATGGATTGACATCATTTAATGAATCCTTCCTCAAACTTTTCACACACTTTCTCTCACATTTTTAACACTCCGCTAATATTGTCACAGTCTTGGCCACCAGATGGCACTGTTTTTCTGTAAGCACGTGGCTTGTGTTGTGTTTGTTTAGTGTCATGTGCTCTCTCCTGTCTATTGTCTCACCCCGCCCATCTTGTTACCTCATTACTGTTTCAGTGGGTTCACCTGTGTCTCCCTCATTACCCTTCTCATTTGCTCCCTATTTATTCTCCTTGTGTTTGCAGTCCTGTGCTTCGATGTTTTCTTATGTGTCTGTGTGCTCTTTGTTTAAGCCTGCTTTGCCTGTTCCTGTGTGGCCGTTAGTGATGGGCAAATGAAGCACTGAGGCTTTCCTCTGACTGTTTCGGGAAAAGATTCAAAGCTTCGCCAGTGTCAAAAATAGCACCATCTGGTAGTCAATAAAAAATATATCAGCCAAAAACCTGTGTGTGTTCGTTAAAATTCTCTCTCTGATAAAATAATTTACCAATTTAACTGTGGCATTAAATGCCAATATGAATATCAATATGATGTAATAGAAGAATAATGTACACATATGAATTGCATATGCCAAATATATTTTTTTCTGAAATAGTTTTTATTCTTCATATTACTTCTAGGGCTGGGTATTTAAAAATGTAATTGAATAAGTCTGAATGAAAACTTACTTGTAAAGTAAGATCTGGGGTTTCGAACATTCTGACACGTGCACGTGATTGGACAGATCGTGAGGCTTCATTTTCTGCTGATCACGTGATTCTCTGAAAACCATACGTGCTCCGGCACAGAGCTTCGTGAGAAATTGCGCTGCTTACCCGATTCGCGCTTTGAAGCTTCAATGTTATATGTAACATCAATAGTGTCCGTCCCCTGCCTTGCCAAGCTGTGCACGGTTCTGGCCTTCCTGCTGTCCCCCCCCCCCTTGGGGTAGCTTTTGTTAGTTTTGTTTATTTTCATTATTAATAAAAAGCCAGATTACAGCAATTAAGTCCTCGCTCTTCATCCCTGCACCCTCACCTGACAAATATAAACTGTATAGACTATGACTAGATCACTGCAGACTCTTAATGTAATATTGCAACTAGGGATACTAATTTAATGTGCTAATTGGTGAGATATAACAGAAAAATAATGCATAAAAAATATAAACACAATAAATGACCCCGCCCCGGTTCAGACCTGTTCGTCATCTTACACTAAAAACTACAGTGTAAGTTTTACACACATAAAACTACACTCAAAGTGCAGATCTGTCAAACTCTAATGGTTATTACTGCCCACAAATTCTGCTTTGGACAAGGATTCGATTAGAACTACAATCACAAATAAAAAGTGATAAACTACAAACATGGCAGATACGCAAGACTGGTGGTTATATTAAAGAGGTTTGAGTGATTAATAATCAATATCAACCTGATAAAAAACATTTATTTAATGTTATACACGTTATGTTTCATCTGCAACAACATTGTAACATTTTATGAAGAACCATAGATATGTATATGTAGATTCGACCGCTCCAGATACATCGATGCATCCGCCATCTTGGAACAGTCAACGTGTCACTCAAAGTAAAAATCAACGAGTTTTCAAATGGAGATTTAAACTCCAGAAGAAATGGGATCAACTTTCACAGGTGATAATGAGTTGATTTGTGTTTTTATAACTCAATCATTTATCACGGTCAGGAGCTCATGTGCCCTGAAATCATTAGATGTCAAGGCAAACGTTGCAGTGCAAGTTCATTTCATTTGATCTCGCATATAATTTGTGTAAAATGTAAAGTGTTGCACATTTTATTGGTACAGAGATGGACATGTGTATTTTGTAAAAAACGTTTGCAACTGCTTTTTATCATTTACTTAGGAGCACCACAATTAAATGATCCTTCATAGGGGCTACAGAACAGATACTTTGAAGTTTATTTTAAAGTGCAAAGTATTAAATGTACAAAATGTGTTGAGTAAAGCTCTGTAAAAACTTCATTTCTGCAGCACTGTGTTGGAAGTGTGTGCCATTGGTTAATCAAAAGTACATACACACACTTGTGGTTTTCACACTAACTTGAACACTTCGGCCAAATACAGGAAATACGTCATGCAAGTAGACAAGAGGTCAAGTGCAAAGACTGCATGTATGAGCATTGTGACTGACCCTATTTATATTTATATATGGTTTAAATGGTGACAGGATGCATGTAAGTCTCTGTTAAAGAATTGTGATGAACTTGTTTGTCCCAAACCTTGTCTACTATTCTGCTACACACTCTAAATTATGTAGATACATTTTCATCACAAAATGTGCACATACTTTTAGGGCATAGTATAAGTAGGCAAACTGGGATGCAGCATCTTTGAGAAGTGCGGATTGCTTTACATCAGCAACAAATGCACATGTACAAGTATCCACTGAAATTGGACTAAAAATATTACATAAAGTATATACAATAATTTGGATTTCATGGGTCTTTCTTTTACTGTGAAGTAAACACTGAAATATTATAATAAGTCCCCTTACACACACTCAGATCTCTTGCTAGATCACGGCTGCAGACTCTTTAATATTTAATATTACATTCATCAGAGATTGATCGGATTGATTCAGCATGATAAAATGAGTTTGATGTGAAAGTGACTCACATGCAGTAGTTTGCAGCAGCAGCATCAGTTCAAAGATCAGCATCATTTCTCTAAAGTCCAGTCTCCAGAAGAAGAGTGTCAGATCGAGTCTTCACTGACAGACAGACAGCAGCTCTGCTGACACACAAGGAAATTACAGCACTTTAACAAAGAAAGAAGAAAGAGGAAGCTTTTGTAGAGAGGGTCTATGTGGGTTCCTTCTTAAATACACACAAAAAGACTGAAACTAGGAAAAAGATATAACAAGAAGAATCACTTCTCGGTTACAAAACATTTCCAAAGAGTGCACAGAGCTACTTTCTGAATGACCGAGAGGCAGATTCACACCTGAGACTCAGTGGCAATAAAATGTAAAATCAGTGAAAACCATGTCAAGATCACATTCAAAAACTCTGAAGCAGAAGATTGAAACCACAAAACATAAACTGCAAAACACCAGACGCTGCAAAACCGAGACACGGATCAGGAGGAACAGTTTTGAATGTACATGAACTGAAAATGTACCTGAAAAAAGTAAAAGAGCAAGAGCAGAAATGTGAAATACATTCAGATATGGAAAATAAACACACAGAACGACTTCACAATCTGACAGAAGAGTTTTATTATGAATGAACAAAAGGGGTTCCATGTAATGAAATACTGCTGATGCAAAAACAAATGTACAACAAATAATTTAAAAACGTCCTTCATAACTAAAACTGTAGTCAATCTGGTTTAATTCATTCATCACAGGTCTGTAATTCTGCATTAATGAGTTTAATTAGTGATTTCATGAGTAGTCGGTTCAGACCAGACATAAATAATGCTCACAAAGTTCAGAAATACATCAACATACTCTACAAGAAATAAACACAACACATGTAAAGATCAATGTCTATCATGAAAGCTTCTTCTGTCTCCTGGTTTAATTCAGCAGGTGAAAGCTGGACTGATGTGAGAATCGCTGAGATTCTGAAGTCATTTCTCACAGATGGGATGATCTGCTGCTGCTCTCATGAATCTTCTGCTGTGTGTTCATGTCACTCTCTAAATCTTCTCATTCTCACTTTCTGATCTTCCTCTTTCTTTTCTAAAAGCATCACATCACATCATCATCATCATCATCACACTCTCAATATTCACATGTCAAATCCATAATGACGATCATAAATGTCTCTCACCTGACGTGTGTCTCATGTAGATGTGAAAACCTCCTAACAGACCCAACAGAACCATCAGCTGGAAACCCCAGACCAGCACAAACACCACAGACACTGAACACACTGAACAATAACAGTTAGACAGAAAACAAACCCATCCTTCATGTTTCCAGTGGCGTGTTTGTTAAACTCATACCACATTCTGATGTCTGTGAGCTACTGGTCACTGAACATCAACACAATTAACTGCTGAGACCAAGGTCATACAAATAATGGCACTTTTAAAGAATTAGGAGAACTGACTGTTTTACTCCAATGTTGCTGTGGTTATATAATGCAATCATGTATTAGAAGCTCACCATGACAGGGTTGGACTCTAATGGTCTTCTGTGCGTGACTGACGTGGTTCTTCGCGCTGCAGCTGATGTCTCCATCAGTTCCCTCATCCAGATCAATGCTGATTTCACCGCCTTTGTGGAGTGGATACTGGCGAGAATTGGATCCACTCCCGACCCAGAGCCCAGCCCACCATCTCCCCGCGATGTGGAGCATCAGCCCGAGCCCACCGTTGAAAGAGAGCCATTTCTCGCCACGATCAACGAGCCAGCGCAAAGCGGAGCGACTGAGCAGAGGATCACCCCGGAAGTAGAGCTTAACCCGTCAGACCAGGTGCGAGAGCTGGCAACAGTGCACAGCGAGGGAGCAAGCCATGGACAGAGAGTGCGCAGAGTGGAGCTTCGCCCACTGCACCGAGGCTGAGGGTGTGCTGATAGTGCATCTGGGACGGTTGGACTTCGAGGGGGACCTTATTGACTGGGTAAATGGAGCAGGAAGCCGGTTTGCCCCCTTTCCTCTCTCCTTTGTCCCTGCTGGTCTCGTCCTGCCATATGTCGTCTCCTGTCTCCATGTCCAGTCCAGAGTGGGCTCCCATTTCCCAGGCCAGCCAGGAGTGGGTTTTGAGCCCGGAGGGCAGCCCTAAGAGCCCGGAGGCTCACGAATGCCTACTGACCTGCCCGCTCCTGCCTCCTCCACCGCTGTCGTCTAGCAGCCCCTCAGCTCACCCTCAGCCCACCATCAATACGGTGCGAGCTCCACGGGTCTGCCATCCTCCAGTGTAGCCATGGCTGGAGAATCCCTCACCTCCAGGCTCCGAAACCCGGATTCCGCCTCGGCCCATAGACCCAGCGGCTCCACCTCGGCTTCTAGCTCCCTCCCCTCCACCGTCACCAGTCGATCCTCCATCTCCACCAGGCTCCCTCGTCCCTCTGGCTCTGCTCCTCCGGCTGCACCTTGTCGCTCCGTTGGGCTACTTCCTCCCGTCGGTTCTACTTTGGTCCTCAGTCACTCCAGCTCCGCCGTGGATCTCCGCCTCGGTCGCCAGAGCCCTCGGCTCCACCCTGGCCCC